TTGATTAATTATTCCGAAGTCAAAGAAAAGTCGGTTTTTGAAATATTTCATCTGCATTTATTGAAATGTTCTCTATTTATGTCGACAATGATTTCGTCTAATTGTATCCTTGTATTTTTCCTCTGCAGACGTTAATTTTTTTAAAATGATGCGCTAGTAAAAACTGAGCACAATGGTATAACCATAACCCAAACAAACACTACTAGTTTTTTCAGTCTCAATTTTTTTTATCCCTTAAGGCTGCTTGTTTAGAGTCGTGCTGTGATATGGTTCTGTTTCGTTTTCACCCAATTTTCTCAGTATGTCTTCCATTGTTGTCGTTTTCCCTTCAATCATTCTCCTGCTTGTCACTTGGAACTCTAGTTGTCCATCGTTCGTCTCAATTCCAACGTCATTCCTGCACGACTTGACACCACATGCTGAGCGGATCGTAGCACTTTTTGCATTCGACTAGTTTCCTTGCTTTCATGCTCTACCAACTGTTTTGCTTTCCTTAATGTATACCGTCGATTGCTGCTCGTCTCGACTGTTCGTCGAATGCTGGATTGGCCATGCCAGGACGACCCCAAATCTTCATCGAAGTCATTCGTTAACTTTTGCTGATCGGATGAAGTGAGCTGGTCTCAGACAAAACCGGTATCAATTTCCCTCTCTGGGAGAGATTCAAGCCTTGATGGGCCCAGGGCGAAATCGGACTAGCACCATGGGTAGTACTTTCTCATTTCATCTTCAACTCAATTTCCTCTATTTTCCACGTTTTTCCATGTTCTCATTCTTGTTCTCCTTCAGCATTTTCTATATTCGTTTTAATTTCTCTCACAGTCAACATCTTGTGCCATAGTTATCCACGCCTTTCATTCATTGTTAAAATCATCTTTATCACCTCCCTTTCAGTCCTGTTGTTTATTTTACTTTAATTTGCCCTATGCACATGACTCTCAGCAAGAATGCAACACGGCAGGACATTGTGGTGTTCCTCTCTTACAGATGTACATATTTCGCTGTTACCCAACATTACTCAGGTTTCATGACAATTTCAGTGCTTTTTCCTTTCCCTCTAGTGCTTTGTGAAGTTGGTTAAATAGTAGTAAACTTATGCAGAAGGTTTGCAAGGAAGCGCAGCTGTTCTTCTAACAAATTGGAACGAACACGTTGATATTGTTATTGCATTCGGCGTGTTACACCATCTTCAATCGCTCGGCCGTGTAGTCGCAGAAATCGCTGCCATTCTGGAAGAGTCGCTGACGGAATGTCTTAAACTTCCCTTTGGATATTAAGCATAGGCGTGTGTCTGTGTTGAGGACCTGAGAACACCCTGAAATGGTCATCTCGGGAAGTGGAAGAAAATCATGTTTGTCCAGTATCCAATAGATAATGGAGAGAGAAAACGAAGAATATTCTAGTCATTGCAAGATTTCGTATGAAACCTACCACTTCTATGGATAGCGATTGGGAAAAAAGGAATAGGTAGAGCGTTAAAGTCTAGCACATAAATATCTGAGTAGATGTTTTTGCTACGTTATCATCTTTGTGGGATGCATAGAGTGCAGTAGTTAGAATTGTTATGTAATACATAGGCTGTCGTTAGTTCAATGTCGTGTCCACGATTCATCAAGTCATCCATCGCTCCAGAGTCAGAAAATTCTTACGAAACTAGTTTGAGAGGATAAAACACTGACTTGTCGCATCAGTAGGAGCGCATGAATCATCGTATAGGCCAAATATGAATTAATCCACTTCTATGGTGCTATGAGTGGAATTCATGGCATGGCGCACCTATACGAGATTGATCAACGCCTGTCGCTTTATTCTCATTATGCTTTGGCGTTTTTGCACTGGCATCCGTTGATATCCTACCGGTACGATGACCAATTTTTTCCCATATTCTGCTTCCTTCGAATTCTTTATACATTCGAATACTTTTATCGTCAGTTCTAATGACTCCTTTAAATTCTGCAATGCTATTTGAAGCAAGTTTCTGACATCAACTGTACTCTACTTTCCTCTTCTCGTACTTGTTACTAGTTGACCTCAGTGGAAATCTCCTATTAGAGATTCTAAAAGAAGTGTTCTATGAAGAAGAAAAGTTGGTGAAGTTGTGAAGTAAAAGAGATGCTTTAAACACTAAAAATTTGTCCGTCTTCGCACAAAAATTCTTTCCAGAGGTGCAAGAAGCGTTATGCGACGAGTTTGATGCCATCGAATGCTCCATAGGACCGGGACCAGATCTCTCCCAATCACCCTTTCGTCTAGAAACGCCACATCTCGGTCGTGAGGTTAGAAGACTCATCGATAGTCATCTTACGATTTTTAAATCATCGCTATGAATTTTTCGTGTGCAGCTCTTTGGAGATCAGTATTTCTTGTGTTTTCCAGATCACCTACGTTCCAGACATCACAAACCTCGATGGATTCAGTGACGCTGGTCTGCATAGAATAAATCTCTCTAAGGTTTCTGGCGGTTTTTTTAATCGATAAATACTTTTTACATTAACTTTCACGGCGAGAAGTACAGCTATGGCTATTCTGCTACATATTCATGCTTTCATTGAAATTTGTCCCTCACTTGCACCTTTCTATGGAACACTTCCATTGGGATGCATAATTTTTAATTGGTCTACTCTTTTTCATGTCTTCAGTCTTCACCTTCTCGATTTTTTGAATGGTTTTTGAACATTTTTTACCAAGCAGAGCTTACACTGCAGTTTCTCTAGAACCCTAAAGCTTTCGGTTCGCATCCATATCTTACGTAATGTGGTTTGCCGTTTGTGAAAAAGCAAACATGGAACTGGAAATTATTATCTAACCAGTAATAAGATATCAAATAGACTAGTATTTGGTTTTGGAATTTGGCTATCCTTATAAGCAACAATGGATTCTCATCACACTTTGCATGTAATCCTCATGCTCAGCACTGAAGACCGATGTAATACTGGAATCGAGTGATCTGAAATAATAAGGGTTACACTCTGCTTTGCCTCCCAACGTTTTACCGCCTCATTGTGGTTGGGAGGTGTTCCTAGGTGTCGGACTGCGATGTACAGCGAGGGATTCATCCCCTGGCAGGGTCTCCCAAGCTGAGAAGGAGTCCGGCGTTTCTTTCGGGAAGCCTAGCTAAGAGTAAACCAATACCAGGATCCACCACCATTCTGGTATCAAAGTCGCATAGTGGAAAATCTCCCTCTGATCCACAAGGGCTGCGACTGTCTGCGGTGGTGAAAACCTGGACCAAATTTTGGCCAGGCTATCCTCGGGATTCCAAGGGATCACAATGGCTTAAGCAGCAAATCTCCGAAAAATGGTGATTATGCTGGGGGCCGCACAACTAGTGAAGACGGACCATTCAAGTATCAAGTATCAAATACACTCTGCTTGGAGAGAAGTGTAAAGATGAGACTACTTAGGGATAAGAGAATAAAGCGTTTAGTTTCCAAGATCGACTTTCTAGTAACCTCGACATTGAATTATAAACCTGTCGTTTTCTTTCTCAGCAATCACGAGGTTGTTAAACACCATGCGTTTACTTCCGTACAAAAGCACACATGCAACAGAACCGTAGCTGACGTTTCGGCAGTTGTGTGTATGTGCGTGTGTTGTGTGTGTGTGTGTGTGTGTGTGTGTGTATGTGTATGTGTATGTGTGTGTGTGTGTGTCTGTCTGTCTGTCTGTCTGTCTTATTGCATAGAAGTAAACGGATGCTGTTTAACAACCTCGCAATTGGTGACAAAGAAAACGACAGATTTATAAAGCGTTTAGTGTTGATCAATTCCCAAAGGCCGCGCCATGCATTTGATTCCATTCGTAGCGTCGTAGAGGTGATTGGATGCACATTTGGCCGAGTAGCGGTGTCCTACCGGTGTATTCGGATGGTGCTTGTGCCTCTCAGACAATTCCGCTAGTAATTTTCAGACACTGAGGAGTGGAGGTCTAGGCTTACCCAAAGGCGCAATCAAACCAAACACTCAGAAACAATGACTTTTGTATTGCAAAGCACTTCCAACCATTGCAATGGATGCGCCTTGAGAAGAATAAAGGGAATACAAGAGAATAAAGAGAATGGGGAAGAATAACGTGGAAAGAGAGCAATGAAGAGAAGAGTGCAGAATGAGACGAATGGAGAAGATTGAGGAGAAGAAAGAAGTTGTAGCGCATAGCAAAGAGTTAACAGATGTGAGATTTATGACTCATAGAAAGCTTTTCAAGTGGATAAAGTTACACAACGAGAAGTCAGATTTGTACTAAGAGGCTCTCTTGTATAGTGGTCACCAAAACACTAGTCGTTAAATAACGTGTTCAGATTTGGAGAGGAAATTGTTTGTTTTGGTTTTCAGCACTTCTAAGTACAATTCAGTCCTTTTCAGTAGTTTTACGCTTTTTAAGATCTTGAGTTTTTGGCTTCTCATGAGGGATAATTAATAATTGGCACACGGTAAAGGATAAGGGATGAGAAGTTCGGGGTTGATCGATCCTTGAGGGATATTTCACCCAGACTTTTAGAGGTTATTGAATATCTTGCCTATACAATCATCTACAGTGGCATATCGACGTGTTTACCTCACATTTTTCTTCACCCTGACAAGTCTGGTACTAATTTTTCAAAGACTTGCTTTATGCGAGACTCAGGCTCAAACAAACGACCTTGTGTGTATTGCAAGGCACCTCTAGCCACTACAATACATACAAGCCTTCTCATCAGTGGACCGAACGTAGAAAAAATATTTCTGACTGAATGGCTACATAGGGCATGTTTGTTGTTTTCTAATTGATACAGAATTTTTTAGGTTCGTAATTTAAAAAATCCTCTCAAAAGCATAAATTATCGCAAGTTCTGGAAATTTTTTTATAGAGGCATAGATGAAGGGATATAGTAGTACACATAAGAGAAAATGGCTTTCCATGGTAAATATTTGTTAGCAATCGCTATGAGCTAGTTTAAGACTGTCTTTGTATTCGTATAGCAGACAACGTTCAACAGTTTCAGAGCAGCGCTCTGTTTACTGATGGTCATCCCAGCTGTTGTTTGGAGTTGGTTCTTAGCAAAGGTCGCAACTGGCGTGATGCACTCACTAAACTTTTCGATCGCGTGTATCCGAACAAATGGGCATTTTTCATCGTCGAGCTTGAACAGGTGCAAATGAAGCTTTGAAAAAGAAGAAGAAAAAAGGTGCTTAACAACTTGCACTTAACTAACCTGCACACTGCAGAGACAACCATCGTACCATTTGCTCTGTTGCAATGCACCTATAGTTACGGCTAGAAGAGAAGACACACCGGATTCGACCGAACCATCATCACAACTCAGTTCACCACCGGACTCAGTACGTTTTCAATCACTGTGTTTTTCCTAATTATGATTTGATGTCTGCTTTGAAGTAAATACGAATTCTTATTGCATTATTCGATTTATTTCACGCTCTTGAACATAGTTAATTAAATGAAATTGTGGATTTTGTCAAGTATGACTGGAAGTACCGATGAGAGACTTTGTTTGTGTCAAGTCTTTTTGTCGTGCTTGTCCTACGACACATAAAGAAAGTGTGCAATGGAAAAAGTGGGTATTGATTTCTACTGCAAGTTGATCGATATGAGCAGTGTTTTGTATTCAATGCACGAAAACATTGAAGACATATCTTTCTTTCTGAGGAGGATGCATAACTCAATTCAAAACTATTGCCGAAAAGAAATATTATAAGAATTTGCTTTCTTTTCGAGAGGAGATTCCGCCGTTAATGCCTCACGTATCTTTCTTTTCGAGAGAACATTTTAAACTCACATCTTACATAAACATGCGTTTATTGAGGTGAATTCACTTTTTTCTCAAATATTATTAGCAGACTGTAATTTTCGCTGAAAGAAGAAGAGAAATTCTCCGCTGTTTAATGTTAACACCGATCTCTCTTTTTCTTTAAACAGCCAGTAAATATCGATCAGATGACGGCAATAATCAATATCTACATTATGTGGAGTGCAGATGTGTAGTATATAGCATTTTGTTTAGGTAGCTGAAAACAGTAATTTCTCGTTATGGATCGTTCCGGTAACTAGGGTATTCGCCGTTCCACCACCACTACCAGCAAAAAAGAAGGTTGTGAAGAAAGTGACCAAGAAGCGTACTCCTAACGAAGATGTGTACGATGAGAACGGAGAAAAGAAGAAATTAGTAAGTTTTTTTCTTCTACCAGCTTGCTCGCTTTCTCTAAACAACATGTTATAACCACAGCCGAAATTGTTTTCAAACACGAAATATTATTTAATAATATTAGTTTCATTATGCTGAGATATTCACAAAACTTGGACCCTAGGCTAGAGTCGAACCCGCTTCTACCCTTCCCAGGGGCTCACATGTTACCCACTGCATCGCTGAGTCCCTTCCTTTGCCTTTTTAGCCAGTTTAATATTGTGATTTCGACTACAACCTCAGCTTAGCTTTGTTTAATGCCGGCTTGTGCTCAACAGATCATTCCCATTGACGGATAATTGTTGATGGCACAATTAGGTAGAAAACTGGCTGAGAAAAAGGCAAAACAGGAGCCTCAGTGATGCGGTGGTTCACACATGAGTCTCCGAATAGGGTAATCGAAGATTCGAATCTGGTCTGCGGTCCAGGCTTTGCAAATGTCTCAGCATCATAGTGGTTGTATTTCACATCATACCCTGACGTGAAAAAATAACTGCATGCAGTAAATGAAAGGTTAAAAATTATTTAACTATTACTATTGTTTTTGTGAATATAAGAGGATGAGTCCATATTGTTTCGCGTATAAGCGGAGAACCGTCTGTATACTTTTACTTGATAGATGTCTTTTTTCCCTGAAATCCATCTTTCCAAATTTAAAAATTTTGGTGAGGTGAAAACAAAGTATGTGGGGGAATAAAAATGTTTGAAATGTTAAGAGATGAATAAAAATTCATACTTTGCTGCTTTGATCTGTTGGACGACATTGAAGTATTCCATCTGGTTTCATAGAATTTCTGTGCTTGACGACCATAAGACTGCGGATGGCGTCACGTGTAGCATAGTGGTTAAAGATGCTCTGCGATATGCCTTTGGCCTTTAGTTTGAACTCGGGATTTCGATAAGCCAGATTCTTCACCCAAGACTGACGGGTTAGTGGCAGTTTTATCCGAGAGGATAAAACACTGACTCGATGCATCAGTTGGACCCCACAAATCATCGTTTGGACTAAATACGAATCCAGTCACTTTTATGATGCCACAAGTGGAGTTAAATGCACTGCGTATCCCTAAGAGATTGATCAACTTTGAAACTTTATCCTTCATCTTCTGATTGCAGGTAAAAGCTGTGCGGAAGAAGCTGGAAAAGAATAACGATTTATCTTCATTGGAGACAAAAGAGGTCCACACTAACGGGTGGGTGGATGATTAATCTCCTTTCGTTGCTAAAGTTCGTATTGTGTGTTGGAATTGGTTCACGGTTTAACAGCTACAATTTTTTTTACTATTCAAATAGATGTAACGATAGAAATTGTCACGCTGTTCAATGTTACAAAGCAAATTCACAGTTACGTAGTGGCATACTCTGTGTTCAAATTTGAGCTGTTCCTCTTAAATAATTGTTCCAGAAAAAGTCAAGCTGCAGATACAAATAACTTCTTTAAAAATGGTCTCTCCAGGTCATCTGCGATTACAGACGAAACACCGACGAGTTCCGAGAAAACTACGGAAAATCTTTCGACGAATTCGAGCTCGTCACCGGTAAATGGAGTACCATCAAGTTTATGCTCGTCAAATTTGGTACTTTTTAAATTCCTAGATTTAAGACCTATTTAGGACGGCAACTGTTTTTAACGTTTTTTATGTCTATCTTAAGAAAATGAGGAGATGAAATCGATAGAGTCCTTGGATAAAAGCATAGCGGTGAAGCTAAAGCTTTTTTTTGTTTCTTCCTCCTTTCTTCTTTAAATCGTGTGCTACTTGAGTTTATTAAATTTCCGACAGCTCTCCGGAAATTGTAAAAACAAAAATGAAAAGAAGAGATTTAGAGAAGAAGTTAAAGGATCAGCAGTAATAACATCGGTTAATAGTATTGTGATCTGGGACTACATTAGGCTCCACTTTAAGTGGGAAACAGTGAATATCTCACAGCAGAGCCCTTCGAGAGATACTCATGGCTTGGTTTAGAGCTCTTTATGTCGCTGAACCAAGCCTAGCTCATTGCTTAGTTCTGACATGGCCAGGAGCCTTTTCGAAGCCCTGTTTGCTCATATGGCTTTCTTTCGTGCAGTGTTCTGTCAATAGAATTTTGACAGGATGTTTTTCTCGACAGCTCCATCTCGGGCCATAACTTCTGCTCTTCTCTCTTTAAGATCTTTAACTGCCTGTCTGCAGTTTTTTAGATTCGGACGTGTGATGACGGTTGCCTTTAGCTTGTACGATTCCATGCATACGAGTCAGTTCGAGTGTTTCTGGGGAGAGTCTCTTCGTGGCGTTCAAACTCTCAGCTTTCATAGCGCTAACATGAAGGTATTGAATAAGCCGATCGTATTCCTCGTCGTTGTTATCAAGAGCATACTTGACCCGAACAGCATCTTGCCAACAGCCAACTAATCAACTTTGTTCATGCTGGTGTTGGGACTTCGTTTTCTGAATTTAGCAGCTCTTTCTCTTTTTCACAATGAATGGAATCCTCCACGAAAGAGTCAATGGTTTCGTTGCATGTAGAAGTTTGGGACAACGACGACATCGGTTGGGTAAAGCCATCTATTTCGTGTAATGTGGTCTACTTGTTGTGGTACCCTCCATTGGGAGATTCACACGTCCAGAGTTGAGGGTGGAGCTTCTGCAATTGCTAGTTATCATGGACTGTTTTAACCGTTGTGACAAACTCGAATAGGCGCTAACGCTGCTCGTTCCATTCTAATCTTTGGGCCCCAATATGATGTTCATCAGACGTTTTTCTTGGTACAGTCTTACCGTAACAATCTCCAATAATGACCCTAGAAAATGTTTAACTTTCTCTGTAGAATTTCTCAAAGTCCATATAGAACGCTTCGATTTCGTCTTCGTCGTAGCTTGATATCTGTACGTAGTCAACGAAGATTGTTAAAGCCCGTAACGATCCACATCTCTTCTACTCTAAACGTTCGATTCGAGTTGTTAGTTGTTCGAATGAATCGATGCTCATGGCTAAACTCGTGTTGACAGAGCTCCAACGCTTCCATCTCCTCTTCTTTCGCATGTCCCGAGCAATAGTTCTCCGTTGTCAAAGACGACGTTAAATAGATGGAGTATTCTCGCGTAAATCAGTCCGATGACGTTGTACTTTGTGCTTCTTGGATGCAAAATCACGTCCTCTATCCAAGGCTCAGATGCAGATGTGGTATTGTAGGTATAGATCGTCACCTTTGCCCTTTGTGGTTTATGCAGCCTAAAATGATCCTGAGATTTCAGCAGCTCTCCGTAATCGTTCCACCTAATGCTGCCGTGTCATGGAGCTCTTTCGGAATCAGGGGAATGAAGAGGGTTTATTTAACTGTGTTTGGCGTTTGATGCCCACGTTTAGCTTGTTCAGCTATGAAAATGGGGGTTGGGTAAACTCACGGGTAGCTTACCACTCTGTCCCAGAGTAGACGGGGAGCTTACTTCAAAAGATCGACTATCTATAAATCTCAGCATAATAATCGATGCTTTTTTGGAGGTGGCTCCTTACTTCTCATACAGTTCCCTCTTACTTGATTACAAGTTTTTTTTTCCGATTTAACTCGTAGAATACAAACCGCATAAATGAAAACGCACCCACAGACGCATAACTGGATACTTCCCCATAAACACAGAAAGTATGTGGCGAAACGGCGCAGCAGAAACATGGAGTCTATTCCCTGGGTCCACATGCGTCTCAGGGAGGCATAAGGTCGCTTTTGTTCTGCAATGATCTGCTTATCCGCAACCTGGGGACGTGCCACTTTGCCTTGCTACTAACCGGCATGAGATCCCTTTATGGGGCGCGTGGTATATAGTAGTAAGTGGAAATAATTTAAATTTTAGGCACAAGATATGGAAAATTCAAGTATAAATGATTTGCGAAAGAAACTGATGTCGTCGGAGAGTACAAGTGGAGCGAACATTGAGGTTTGATGAATTATGACTTATCTACAATGTTATAAATGGAGGCCTCCTAACGGTTTACCGCCTCATCGTGGCTGATAGGTGTACGTGGGTGTCGGGCTGCGATGTACAGCGGGGAATTCATCCCACCGGCACGGTCTCCCAAGCTGAGAAGGAGTCCGGCGTTACCATCAGAAAGCCTAGCTAAGAATAAACCAATACCAGGATCCACCACCGTCCTGGTATCAAATTAGTCGCACGGTGGCAAATCTCCCTCTTATCC